GATTGTAATTTTGTTCATTCAGTTCTAATAATTTATGATAATGTTCTATTGTAGAGACATATTTATGGTGTCCTTCTTTCTCATTTCTTCCTTGTAGAATGAACCTGAAAGAGGTGGAATATAAAGGATTAACTAAAAAAAGTAAAGAAAAAAACACTATAATTAGTTTTTTTTAGTGGGGATATTGAATATTGGCCTTTGCTTGCAGCAGTAATGGTATCACTGTGTAAATTTATTAGTGTATATTGTGAGATTTAATTAATTAAATAATAAAAGATGTAATTAAAATTTTAAAAATAACAGTGATAATAATGATTAGTTAAAAATGGAGGTTATGTTTTGGAGGAAAACTAAATGAAAGAGAATAAGACACTTGACATTTTTCTTCATTAGATTAACCCTTTTTTATATATTTTTTTTTATAGATTTTAAAACATTAAAAACTAAAATATATTTTTTAATTGATAGGAACTAAATTATATGTATAATTCCAACTTCATTATATTATTTTGTATTTGTTTTCATTTTACAAAAAGTAATATGATATTATTTTTTATTGAATTGACTATGAAAGAAAGTTCTTATGGTTATAATTTTATTATTTTTTATTTTTAGGATTAAATTAAAATAATTATTAATAGTAATATTTAATTTTAAAAAAGTATTAATTTATATTTTTACAAAAATAAATATTTTTATTAATATTTTTTACTTTAATTGTTTAATCTTAAATCTAAAAGTTTAGTCTTAAATGTGTTTATAAATAACATATATAAGATTATTTATTTATACATTTTTTTTTTCAGATGATATAGTATTAGTTAAAAATTTGAAAGAATAAATTAATGCTAAATTTAAATTATGAAAGTGGACTTCAGAATTTAATAATTTTCACTTAAGTCGAAGTAAGACAAAATATAGTAATGGTAGGTTTAGTAATTGATGTGTAAAAATTAATTACTGGGCAAGTGTACCCGTAGTCAGAGTAATATTATGAAAAATAGAATACCAAGTGTCGTATCCACATGGACTGTTATTAAGAATTACTTCCTTAATTGCGCAATTGTTGATGAATATAAAAAAAAAAATTGTTGATAAAATTGATAAAAATAAAAGAATAATAAATTAAAAGGAATAGATATTCTTATGAAAATAAATTATAGAAAAATATTACTAAAGGTATTCAAGGGAAATAGACGAGTATCTAGACTATAAATCCTCATAAATGTCCAAATAACTAAAATTCTTCTTCAACTACTTAGTTTCAAACCCTTATTACTGCAAAAAATTCTGAATTAAATCAATACATTTCTCAAGGATAATGATTTCTAACCCTCAGTTGATCAATCAGAATCTCTTCCTTAATTAATACCCCTAGGTTGCATTAAGTTCATTATGAATTTTATAATTAGGATTAATCCTAATACAGAAAACTTACGTCTTTCTATCTCTAGAAATACGTTCAAGTCCTTTTAATTGAGCAATGTTAATTTCATGCAAGAATTTTACTCAAATTCAAACAAGAAAACAAGATGGGAGACAATTGATACTACTCAATTAAACTCAAGAGAAAAGAACATGAAATAACAGTAGAAGAATCCCAGAAAATTTAGTCAATTTGGATTCATTACGTCTAGATACTCAAGGAAAAATTAGAACCTAAATATCTTTCAACTAAAATTACAAAAGAGATGAATGAAAGACTTGATTCCGTCCTCCAGCCGTCACCGATTTCGTCTTTCTCCCAGAACTGCCTCCCCTAGGTTTCTGTGCCAAGTTCCCTTTTATATGAGTCGTCCAAGGGCTCATCTTCTCGCAGAAGTTTAAATTCTGATGCACGTTCAAAGTACACGGTCATGTACTTTAATCGTGTACATCTCTGGTATCTAACAATTATCCTTCATAGTTTTCTTAAAAAGTACACACTCATGTACACGGCCATATACTTTGACCGTGTACATCTCTGACATCTAAGAATTGCCCTGCACAGCTTTTCTAAAAAGTACACGGCCATGTACTTTGACTGTGTACATCTCTGGTTTTGATGATGCACTTCAATTGACACAACCGGTTAGATACACGCTCATATACACGGGCGTGTACTTGCCCGTGTATATCTTTGTTTTGATTTTGTGCTTGATTTATGCAACCAATGAGATACACGTTTATGTACACGGCCATGTACTTGCCCATGTATATCTCTGGTTCTTTTTTTGCTTCAATTCCCAATATCCTTTAAGCTCTCACTTCTTGATCCTTTTTCCTGAAATATGAATAAAATAGACTTAATAATAAATTCTCTCAATGAATAGCTCAAAAATCTCAATTATCATTCATGAATTATAATGTAGGACCAAGTATAGAAAGTATTTATCAGTAATAAAATAAGATGAGAATCATGCATTAGAAGTTAATTTGGAGGTAATATTATAATGCAAGTTTTCAATTTTAAGTACTTAAAGATCAATTATACAAAATGATAAAAAAATTAATAAAAATATTATTCATAGAATACAAATTAAGTGGTTAAAGTGAAAAAAAAAAGACATTAAAAATTATTTATGACTGTGAAGTGTATATTAAGGTGAAAGAAAAGTTTTATGATACCACAATACGATTAACTATCTCATGTAATAGTGAATATTGAATCTTAAAAGAACAATATGAGAAAAAAGTGAGTGACAAAAATGAAAATATCAAAGTAGATAAGTAGATACATAAGAAATAACAGTATATAAAATAATAGTATACAAAAAAATATTAGAGTAGTACTTAAAATAAAAAAGATGATTGAAAATCATTTAAGATATTTTAATTATGTGAAGAGAAAACTTTTAAAAATATCGATGAGAAAAATAAATTACATAACTCTTAGTCTTGTAAAAAGGAATCGAAGGAAACTAAAAATAACTTTCAATAAAATTAATAAAAAATACTTTTTGATTAACTAAATTTTTAAAAATTTAATTTTTAATTAAATATAACGATTTCGTATGATATATATAGCCGACTTCTTTTTAATAAGATAAGACTTTAATTGTTACTGTTGATATATTTTTCTTCTATATTCTTATCAAATTGCTTAAATAAACTTGGAGATAAAGAAAATAAACTAAATTTGTCTAATTTAATATTCATAACCTATCAATTTTTTACGAGTTAGATTAAATAATGTTAACTTATACTAATGTAAGTCATGGATTGTAATGGATCAGGAAATTAGGCTTTGTTTGATTGTATTAATTTAAGAAGGAAAAAAAAAATTATACGGAGTGATTTAACAAAGAAAAAAAATATTTTTTCTTGATTTATATGATTCGGAAGTCAGAAGGAAAAAAAAATATTTTGTGGGTAAAAAGTGTACGATAGTGAGGGAAGGGAGAGAAAGCTGCCGCGGGATTATTTTTTAATGTTTTAATTTTAAATAATATTTTATGCATTACAAACATTATTAAAAATATAAAATAAATAATATACTTACAAAAATATTATAATAATTTTTATAAAATAGTTTTACTTTATGTTTTAACCTTTTATTCTTTTACACTCTTATTTCTTTCATCTCTCGGATTAACATACTTTTGGCGGGGGAGTGCTCCAAGTTAATTAATTTTTCGGCTCAGTTTTGCTTTATCGAATTTTTTATTAAACACAATAATAAAAATTTACGTATAATATAATTAATTTAATATATAATATTAAATATTATAATTTTTAATAAAACATTATTTATTAAATTTTATTATGTGTATTAGACACATGGTAAAAAAATTGTTGATTTATTTAATAAATTTTCCTACTAAAAGAATCTCCAATAGTTTCAAAGTAAACTTAATTTTTACTCTCATCTACACTAATTTTTATACCATTAAACTCCCTCTCTCTTTCTTTCTATGTATATAAAAAGAGAGAGAAAATTTATTTTTTTTATTTTTAAACTATTTTTATCATCTAAGTAAATTAATTCACTTATTATAAAAGTGGAATATGTAAAAGATTTTAACCTTTAACTTTTCAAAAATTATTTTACTGAAATTAATTTTAATTAACAATAAATAATTTTTTATAAAAATATATTTATTACTATAAAAATATTAAAAGATAATTTATTTCTGGGGTCAGTGTCACGTATAACGTCAAAATCAGTTTAAAATGCGTCAACTTATTCGTGTTTGTGTTTTTTTCCTCCTCCTTTTCTGACGAGTCGGTAACAGGATAAGATGCATCGAAACAGAGCAACTCTCTTTACAACCTCTAAAATTATAAGAGTCGTGACTCTGAAAGTTCGCGGCTACGCAAACAGCAAAAAGGTTTAACATTTTTAACCTCTTGTTTCTTCAAGACTTTTTTCGCATTTTCACATGTCAGACAGGGAGAGCTTAAATGAAGTCTGAATTTATAACTGCAAACTCAACCATCAACCAATTTGATCAAACTCCCAAACTAAAGAAGCCACCTAAAGTGGTTGATTATATTTAATTCTGAATGCTCCAGAGAGTGATAGCATACATAATTCAAGGTCACAGTTACCTGAGCAAAGCAAGAAAAATGTTGTGTCGTCAATAAGGAACTTTTTTAGGTGTTTCTACTGTACTTTAAATGCACTTTTAAGATATGTATGTAAAAAAAGAAAATAACAAAATTATATATTGTATCTGATGTAATGTCAATTTTTAATTATTCCACTAATGAAACTCGCAAATCAATGATCAGGTATTTTTCTTTTCTCTTTGACTTCAGTTGTCAGTTGTCACACAAAATTAAATTGATGAATTAACATTTAATCCACAGTACTTTCATGGGACATAGCGAAGCCCTTTCCTTCTATTTTTGTCAAGAGTACAATCTTATATTAATCCAAATGGAAGAAGCTTCATTTTTGGGGCTTGATAAGATCATTTGAGTTGGGAGCGCACCCTGAATGAACTACACACGTGATAGCTTTCCGAATTATTCATGCTATGAGCTGTGTGTTGTTGTGGGCTTATGTGTGATACTCATGTTCGGAACTTCAAGTTGTGAACCAAAATACAAAGGAAGAGATGGATTGTCATAACTCATCCTAATAAAGATAACTGATCACTTGGACTCCATCAACAATGCAAATATATATATTTCCATGAAAATTAATTTCAGTATCACATAATATACATACAAGCAAAAGAGAAAACAGTACTTCTCAAATCCAAATGAGCTAGTTTCCAACACCTAATTAATGTCTATGAAAACAAACATGAACTCTTGCTCCAATTTTGTAGACGTGGAATTGTGGATACTATAGTACTGGGAGTGTAATTTTATTATATTTTTCAAGGTTTATGCTTTTGCGTATAAATATAGTCAACGTGAGCAGCAAGTGTTCTCTTCATCAAACATTCATCCTCTCCAACGTCTTCACAGCTCTCATCAACCACCTCAACACTCTACACGTATGAAATGAAAATCATATATAAAATTAACTGTCATATAGAAAGATAAAAGTGAATATATATTGCATTGAAATTCAACCAACCTGGCGGTGTGCGTTTGGCAAAGACTGGTGGTGAAAAGCTGGTTCAGGGCGTATGGCATGGGTGAGCATGTAGCAGAGGAATAGGGTAAAGAACAGGGCAGTGACCTTGGTCATGTTTGCTTTATGTTAAAGAAAAATGACAAATTATTAAGATGAAAGAAGTAATGGAGGGTACCTGAATGGAAGAGGGAGTGAAACAAGGAATATTTATAGAGGGATAAGAACGCAAATGGAGGTGTGAACCTTAGAATTGAGTAGGGGCCTCATTTATTGTAGCTGACAATCATAGACCAACGAGGCATTCAGTAACCAATGAGAAAAAGGGAGTAACTAGAATAATGCTTTTTCAATATTTTTTTTTACCTCATTTTTTTTACATTTCTTTTCATTATATTATCTATTATATATATATATATATATATATTTTATTTTTTTTTTCTTATGTCACTTCTTACCAAAAGTGTTGTTATTAAAAAGTAACGTTGAAATAGCATACCTCGTTAATAAACAAACCCCCAAAATAAATCCATTTTTTAAAAAATAAAGTAGCCGATAAACAGTCACATGAACAGTGGGAAAAAATGAGAACTAAAAAGTAACCACAAGAACTGAGCCAAGAAACAGATCGGAAAGAAAAGAAAGGGTTTGAACTTCGAAATTCGTGTTGACAGAAGTTATGTGTAATTCTTTAAATATTTTATTTTTAATTAAAATTAAAGTTTTATTTTAATAATTTGAGATGATATTAAATAGTTTTATTAAAATAAAAATTTATTTTAATTAAAAATAATAGTAAAATTATAAAATCATCTGTGTAACATTATACATAATAAAAAATTATATATAATAATTTTCATAAAAATTAAAATTTTATACAATTTAATTTATTAATATTTTTAAATAGTATAATTTTTAATATATATTTATTTTTATAAAGTAATTATCATAAATAATATTACACTTATTTAAAAATTTGATAATTTAAAATATATATATATATATTTTTAACCTATTTAATTCTGCGTTAAATGCACTTAAACATTAGATTAAGCTACAAATTATCTTAACGATTTTGCTTGTCCGTTGTGGATATGAGCGAGAGAACGTTATTCTCGTCTCGCTAAATGATGATATGTAATTTTTTTTAAATATTAGATCTCTTATTAAATATGTGTAATAGACTTCTAACAGAATGTTCCAAGTGATAATGTTTTGACTTCAAATGAAAAACATGGATAGGACTTGGTTTAAAGTTTTATCTAAAATATCGAAAATAATAATGTAATTTTTTAAAAGATATGTTATAAAACATGGTGCGAAAACGAGCAGACATTTTTAGAACAAACCTGTTTTGTGCACTAAACTTATTTTATAATTATGAATAAAAAACAAATATATAAAATAAGACGAATAAATTATACGTTATATTTTTATTGATCTGAACGTAGGATGTATTGAGAAAGACGCATTGGATGTATTGTGACATTTGATGACCTCATGAATTGATTATAGCCAACGCATTGCATCTCAACAATAGGACTTTTCAAAGGTGTAGTGAGAGCATCAATTCAAAAGAAGTGTGTATCACCTTTGGGATCGTGTTCCGTTTTTCACAACTCAATTGGCTATAAGAGATATGAGGGCTAGAATGCTCCAGATAAAAGCTTCAACCAGGATTTCCATTTATGAGACTTGTATTAGCTCATCCTGTGTCATCAAAATAATTTCTCCGGTAAGGTAGAGAAGACACGTACGTAGTATTAAAATAAAAAGAAAGATATATCTAAAAGGGTGTGTTTTAATATTATAAAAAATACATAAAAAATAAATTGATTAGAATGAAATGAAATGCATCAAGAAAAATGAAACACATATATTCACAATTTATAACTCGCAACGATGTATATGTTTGATAAACAGACGTGTGTATCATGAATGGTACACGCAAATTTAAATCCATCAATTAATGCCTGAGTAACTGCTCGGTTTGTGGACTTTGAAATGCACGTGGAAAGTTTGCTGATTCAACTCTTCAATTTCATTTTCTGTCTCTGTCCTTTTTCTACAATTTAATTAAGTTTAAATATATTTTTATTTTTAATTAATTTAATTTAATTTTAAAATTTTATTTATAATAATACTATGTCATGTATATAATTAGATCATATCAACAACTATTTTAAATGATATATAATATAAATGTCATGTGAAGCGATGAGACAAAAAAGTTTTAAAATTTAAAATAAGAAATTAAATATAAAATAAAGTCATAAGATTTTATGTCATGATCTATTTTTATTGTTCTCTGTACTGCTTGATGAAATTGAGAAGAATGCCCTTGATTGAGCAAAATAGCATCATAACTATAAAAGCTAACATAACATACCTACACGTAAGTATATGGAATTAACTCATTAACATTCCATGACTCGGCTTGGATGTATGAAGAGGTTCCCACGTATACCTGTAGTTGTGTCAACAAAATTCGAGGATTTAGACTTATTAATTAAAGGAGTTTTTTGTAATATAAATTATTAATTTTTATATAATTTTTTATCTTTTTTAGTTGCAAAATTATTTATCAAAATTCTATAATTAAGTAATTTTAATATTTTCCTCCTCCTTTTGCATTATTGAAGTGGTATAAAAATTGAGTTATTTTAATTTTAAAAACTTATTTTAACGGTAGCAATTGTCACATTTATTATCAGTAATATTCTTCAAGCAATACATACGTTTTAAAAAAAAAGCTACGTTAAAAGGTTTTGAAAAATATTATAAAATTTCGATATTTAAATAGTAAAAAGATTATTATCCCCAACATCAAAACTTTACGATTAATAGTTTACAGTGATTAAGTTGATTGATTTCATAAATTACTATCTTTTAATTAAGTAATGTTAAGATTGTACAAATTTTATTTGTTAATTGGGAATGGAAAAAAAACAACAAACGTTAAAAAAAACATTTAAAAAGATTAAAAAAATTCTATATTATATTATAAAATTTTATTATTTTTTAAAATATTAAATAATCAAATCAATTAGAAATGAGACCTCAGACGCTACTCAATTTTCTAGTGCTACACAACCATGCGTGTAAAGTAATAAGAAATTCTCACTAGATTTATATATCAAAAGAGATAAATGTTAAATCTAAATCAACTGTGATGAAGATAAAGTGTTTAGATAATGGAGCCATGAAGTAATAAATTTAAGATTTAAATAATATTTTTATCATTTAAAAATTTATAATGTTTATTTTTTCTTTTTAATTTTTAATCTAAATTTTCAAAAAAATATTTTTATCTAATTTTTATTAATAATGATTTTTTTTTATGTTTGTATATCATGAAGTTGCAAGAATATTTTAGAACCACTATACATGATAAGAAAAAACAAGTGATGAAGTGGCTCACTCCAAAATAGAAATATCAATCGATCAATGTTGATATTGTCTTGATTTACGCACAGAAAATGGACTTTTAGGTTCAAAATTAGTGCACAACCCATTAAATTGCAACGTCAAATTGACCTAGGAGGAAAATACACCCATTCTAGACCCAACTTCCTGGAGAAGACTAGTGGCCGTTTGCTATACCTAAACGCGATGAGACTAGATGTGTGTTTTGCAACCCTACAATTAAGTCAATATATGCAATCCCTCACTCAAGTCCATCCTCGTGCAGCTTGTGTGTATTGCATTACTTGAAAGGCCTCCCTAGACATGGCTTACTCTTCAGCAAGGACTCAAAACTCCAATTTATAGGATTTGCTAATGCTAACTAGGCAGGTTGACCAGACTCTCGTCAATCTATCTCCAAACTCTGTTTCTTCCTTGGAAGCTCCCTCATGTCATTGTGAAGCAAGATGCAAGTCACAATTTCGCACTCATCCTCCGAAGCAAAATAAAGAGCCTTAGTGGCGACCTCCAATGGTTCACCTTCATCCTCCATGATCTTCATGTTAAGAACGCCAAACAACTAGTGATTTACTGTGATAACTAAAGCACACTACATATTGCGGCTAACCTGATTTTCCATGAACAAATAATGTGTAGAGATAGACTGCCACATAGTAAGGGAAAAGACACAAGCAAGTTTGATGAAGCTCCTGCCTATTTCTTCCAATCTTCAAGTTGCTGACATATTTATCAAGGGACTTGGGATTTCTGCATTGTCCTCTCTATTTCTCAAGCTTGGAATGCTAGATATATACCACCCTCTAGCTTGTGGGGGGAGAGGGAGGGCCATGAAGTTGCAAGAATATTCTAGAATCACCATATGTGATGAGGAGAGGCAATGTAATAAAAAGAAGTAAGGAAGTTAGTTGTTGAGAATAAAACCTTTAATGCAAATATGTATCTCATGAATCTCATAATTGTTACTATTCTTTTATTTTATTTTTTTGTATTATTTTTTTCTGTAATCACACGGATAGCACTATATCTCTGTACACAAACTAGTACTCAATAAAAGAGTAAATATTTTCATTCTATTTCAATTATTATTCTCAATAGTATAAATATCATTCAAAATAACTTATATAATTTAATTAGGATGAGATATATTATTAAATGAAATTTTAATTTATAGGATTAAAAATTCTAAATCTAAGACTTAAAAATATAAAAAAATATATAAATAACATATCATCACATGATATTATATGAATCAAATTAGATGTTAATAAGTACATATTAAATAAAAATAAAAAAATACTAATAGAAGAAAAAGAAAATTAATTTTTTAATTTAAAAAAATTAAATTTAATAGTCAACTAATAATCACAAAATTTTGAATATCAAAACTTTATTTAAATTTAAATTTAATAAATGTCTAATGTGTAATTTAAAATATACAATAAAAATTTATATATAATAATATTTTATTAAAAATCATAAAAATTATATATTTATAATATTAAATATTATATTTTAATAATTTAATATTTATTAATACTTTATTATATCGTTTAAGCACACCTTAAAAAGAATGAAAAGTTTAAACATAGTTTTGCCTGTTCCGCCAAGTGAAATATGTAGTGTCCATATTGACTAGTGCACGGTCTTTTAGATTTTGTCAGTGGCTACTGCTTTCGGCCACAGATTTAATACAGCTGCAACCTAGGAATAACTCCGACACTTAGTCAAACATTAACACTCATTCCATTTGA